TCATCAATCAATCTTTAGCCAATCTCCACTTCGATTATTTTTATGGAGCTTTGTTTGCCAACAGGTAAATGCATAATTCTTCAAAAACTCAAATATTTAAAAAACTAGCTGTAAGTGGAATTCTGTCTTAAGGCAATTAGGGCATCGTGCCTTAAGGCAAATTGCTGGAACTTCCCGTACCAAAATTTTTATTTTTTTTAAAAACGATTAACATTTTTGAAAAAAAATTACTTTGAAAAAATAAGATTTTTGAGAAACTATAAATTGGACAAAAATTAGTTTTTTTTGAAAAAAAAAATTTTTAAAAAAAAATTTTTTTCAAAAAAAAAATTTTTTTTTTGAAAACAAAATTTTTTTTCTTTATTTTGACATATTGTGGAAGATCTGAACTTTTTTTTCAAAGCAATCGTACTGCTTAACTACATAGGGACAAAATATAAAGCGCGTAAGCGCCGCGTCGCTGTCTAACGCATAAGCATTGGTACGGAACCCATAGGAATGTTAACAAATGTATACTTATTGTTAAAATCTCTATAAAATATCTGATAATTTGATGTGCATATGTCTAATGATCATTTTTGACCGCCAAATGGCTCTTTTTTTACTTTTTTCTCTATATCTCCGAAACCGCTGGACCTACCTTTATGAAAGTTGTATCGATTCTTCATCTTGTCAATACAAATAAAATGTTTTTTGAATTATTCAAATCGGACGCTCCGTTCTCTTAAAAACTGAGTTACCGTTTTCGGAACTTTTTGCCCCGTATCTTCGGAACGGCTTGACCTGCCTTTGCCAAAAACTAATCAGCACGTCTCCTTATCAATACGGATCGAATGTTTTTTGAATTATTCAAATCGGTTGATCCGTGTTCCCGAAATCGTCGACGAAAATTTGTATCCGCACATACATACACACACATACATACATAAACACACACATACCCACACACATACACCCACACACACACACACACACATACATCCATTTTTTCTAAGGTATGCCAAAATGTTCAAAACCTCTGAAACGTAAAGATATATAAAAATTTTCATTTTCGATTTTTTTGCGATTACTATAACTTACCCTACGGGAGTTAATAATCAAATGATATATAAGCATAAACTTTTACAAAAATTAACTGCATAGCCTTAATTTGTATCTTTTTAGCATTACTAATAAATACACTACGTTTTATAAAACTGCCACAAAAGGAAAGATTGACATTTTTCAACACCAGATATTACTCGCCGGCGTCCCACGATTTAAATATTGGATATCATTATTCATAATGGACTTGACACTTTACATTATAATCTCGAATTTCATTATATTCACTTTATATTTCCTGAATGGCATCGAAGATATTCATGTCTTGGGTAAGAACCAGTTCTTATAGGGTAAGAATAACCTATATTATTCCAACCCTTTAATTTGCTTGACAAAATTTTTTTTTAGTTTATGTTGTGCAACTAGTACTGTATTTTGGAATCTGTGCCATCTTATTTTCGTATATATTGAGCTTTACGAATGCCAAGTTGTCCAAAATTTATAGCATAATGATTGTCACTTATATATCAGGTATGTATTCAATTATCTTTGATGCAAATTAATATTTAATGGTACCAATATTCTGGTGTGTAGTACTATTATAAGAGATATTCTGTTATGAATTAAAGAAAATTAATTTTTAGAACTCAATGAAATGTTTTGAGTGAATTACGTTTAGTTAATACAATTACTATAATTATAAACTCTGCCAATTAAAATTTTTTGCCACATCTTCATGATGGGTATACTTACTCGTCAATCACAGCTAACTAGTTAAATGGCAAATCTTATTATAAAAATTTTCTTTATAGATGCAACTGGATACTAATTTTTAATGACTGATATATGTAAATATACCATATATTTTAGTGAGTGCAGTTTCCTTAGTTCTGTATTGGTTTCGTGACATTTATAAATATGGATTGGACATCTTAGATGGAGTGCTGATGATAAATCCGATGTACGCGATGTCTTTGGGACTTGTCATTTTTCAAATTGTTAATTTTGACAAAAGTAGATGTTTTTACTTGAAAGATTTTTTAACCTGTGATACAATAATAAGTAACGAACAAAGAGCTTGCTGTGGTAAGGAATATTTGTTGTTGGCTTTCTATGCATTTTGAAAAAACATCTAGTTCATTTTTAATAACATTCACGTAATTTTTAAGAATTGATTAATTTGCCACTTATCATGCATATATTTAACGCCCAAAGAAACGATTGTTTTTACCAAAAAATCCGATTTATTAAATTGGCAAGGTATGCGTGTGCATATGCTTGAATATATGTGAAATTTTACATGACTTAATATGATAAAAGTATCACGATTATTTGAATTAGATTATGGTTAAATATTAAAAGATACATTGATTAATCCTTTCTTAATTAGAAAAATAGTTAAAACAATTTTCTACAATATTTGCCAATACTTTCAGAAATGGTTTGTGATGATCAAGGATGCATTTATACACATAAGAGATATTTGAACCAATCCCTTCCTACAGTAATAACGTTAGTTTTGAATATTGTTTGTTACTGTGTAAGTATTATAATATACTTTCTACTCGAATTACATTATGAATAAGAACTTATGATAATTTCATAATATTTTTACAGTTTATATTATATTATATGATCAATAAAAAATCATATCATGTAACAACATCCAAGAAAAAAGCCCGCATCGATAAGATAAAACCAAATATTGATGATTTAGATGTGTTTGTAGAAAGAAAAATTGTTGAAAGTACACTAAAAGGTAAATGATTAAATAACAAATATTATAAATAATTTTCTAATCTTGTAATTGTTTCAGATAAATGGCAGCAAGAAGTACTCTATTATGTACGTGATCTTAAGAAAGTTTCGAAGAATAAAATTCATTTGCGGGGCATAAGCTTTTATGTAGAGGTTGTCATAATTTTTATGTACTGTTACATATTTTAATTTTAATAATTTTACTTTAATGCTATTTATTTAATTTAATTGATCTGGAACGATAACATCTAACTTTAACATCAACTAATTGTGAGCTACAAGTATTCCAAATCAATCTTTTATTGATATCAAATAGGGCTAATTGTAATTTTAAAATGATCAAAATATTTAATTACTATTACTTACTTATTTTTGAAGCCTGGTCAATGCTTTGGCATTTGCGGGGAAGATGGTCCAAGCAAAAAAGCATTATTCGAAATATTAGTTGGTTTAGATAATCCATCGGCTGGTGATGCTTATTTGATGAACACAAGTCTGATGAAAGATAGAAAAAAAGTAAATAAAGTTTTAAACTACTGATTAATTCTGCTTTGAGTATATCTAATGTATTTTCTTTATTTCCCTTAGTATATGAACAATATTGGTTTTAGTCCATGCGAAAGTGCTTTATTTACTGCTCTGACTGGACGAGAAGTAGTGACATTTTTCACATCATTGCTTGGATTATCTAAACATTATCAGGCAAAGGAAATCGATTTTTGGATTTCATTTTTAGGTAATGATTTTATTTTTTTGCACGACAAATAAATACCTACTATAAAACATCCTTAATGAATTCAATGTTGCAGAGTAAATTATAATTTTCATGTCCTGGTGACTACTCGTATAGAATTTTATAAAACAGCGATTTATTTTCAGGATTAACTAAAATACAGCACTCGCCTTGCTATAGATACCCACCAGGAATAAAAATGAAAATGAGTATTTTCATAGCATATTTATCAAACGCACCAATAATAATTTTGGACCACCCAACAAAGTCTGTTGATCCTGTATCGAAACATGGCATTTATACTTTACTGGAGTATATTCAAACATCCGGAAAAGCGATCGTTATGATATCAGACAGGTAAAAGTTGTAATTGATTTGTAATAGACATCCATAGAGAGTAAAATAATTGAATGAATAGGATCAATTTGTCACAAAAAGAAAATTTTGATAAATTTAATCAATTGGTACATTCAAACCTTATTAGAGAAATTGATGTTGCAGTCAACCGATTGTTTTTATATGCACTGATTATTTTTATCCGACTTGGGTAGAGAAGTAAAGAAAAATGTGACAAATGTGTTTATTACATTTTTGCTTACTTTTAACACCCTAACAACTTATAGACACTTTTTCGATTTACAGTCTTTCAAAATAAAATATGTTGAAAAATACATAATTAGCATTTGTTCAAATAGTGTCTGTTAAAACTTACAATTAGCACCTGCATGTAGCCTAAAGCCCGGTTGAAAAAAAACTTACTATTATTAGTGAAATCTTCTGCGTGGAAAAAAAGATAAGAATTATATTTAAGTCAATTTATGAAAATAAAATAAAATATCAATATTCACTACAGCATGTCCGATTGTGATTTGTTATGCTCCCGATTGGCGATTTTAGCAAGAGGCCAATTCAAATGTATTGGGAAAATACAAGATTTGAAAGAGCGATTTGGTGTTGGATACACGGCGATAGTTAAAACTAGAGCAACAGACAGTGGAGAATTTAATATGTAAATGTTGAAATAATAAGAAAATTAATTCTATAAATTTAAATAATTTTCTAAGGCTTGAATTATATATATATATATATATATATATATATATATATATATATATTATTTGTGTCCAGGAAGCTCCAAGATTTAAAATCAGATCTGACCGTGAGACTTACTGGCCAATTGAGAAGTAGCGTTGCGGTAACTATTATATTTTTATACACCAATAATTTATATATAAATATATATATATATATATATATATATATATATATATATCCTATTATTACCCAGGGAGTATTGCACTACCAGCTGATGGATCCAAAACTCAACTGGGCATCTATATTTCGTTCCATGGAGTTGCTGAAGGAGACCCATGACATCGTAGAAGATTATGCGGTGACAGAATGTTCTTTGCAAGAAATGTATTTCCATTTTACCGAAGCATGGAAGAAAAATGCACCAAAAACATTCGAAAAACCACCGAGCAAAAAACAAGTAATGAAAGCCTTCGAGATCAAATTGGAACGCGAAAAGATCAAGAGCAAGAAAAGAGTCATCTTGGATTTGAAAAGAATGGGTAAGAAAGTGTTAAATATAGTAAAGCATGATTGATTAGTAGTTTTTTATAACGATAATGCTCAGGATACTCTGAAGTCTTAACTCATTGTAAGATTTGAGAGAAGCGAAATGTATTTATGTAAGAAATACAACAATGATATAGAATCTATCTATGTTATTTAATGAATGTTATACTAAATATTTCAATTTTAGGTTCTATGGATTCCATAGATTATGGATACCACAGGCCAAGGAGATTCCTAAGGTGCGCTGAAGAATACGAAAATAAGCCAAAACCGCCGATGGCAAAAACTTGTGTTATCTCATAAAACCAAAAGTTTTTTTCAATAAAACAAGTATTTATTCTATTTTGGTAAATACAGTTACTTAAAAGAACCAGATGTTTTAATGTGGTATTTTATATTTACATTTACATCCTTATTTAATTAAGTAAAATTTCAAGGCAAAATATAAAGGGTTGGGAATCGTTTTTTATATGAAAGTACTCTTTCATAGAGTTAGATACCTCCGAGGAGGGGGCTAGGACGACCAGGTAGGGGAGGTTTCTACATAACCATCATCCCTCGAAATTAATAAAATGTAGCAATAATAATTAAACATAAATCAAAATTGTTAGCTCACAATTAAGTTAACAAACTTATAAAAAATACTTTGTTTTTTTATATAAAGTTAATAAAAATCGAGTTTTTTTACTAACTTAAGTAAAAGTGACGCTGCAAAATGTGAACTCATTAGTTTAAACACTTTTAGTAACCTTATAGTAACAACTATTTGTCATAAACTAATTATAATGAATAACTTTAATGCGCACTTAAATAATTGAAGTTATAGTTATAACAAAGTATAAAGATAAATAAGTAAAATGTATAGTAAAATGACAAAAATTTTAGTATATTATATAGTTACAAAAATTTCATTTCAATCATTGAGTACATAATTTATATTCTTCAATGACATTAATTACATTTATTCTGGTATTATTTGTATTCATTAATACCTACATGTATTTATTATGATATAAACGTACTCAAGATTTATTACAATACTTTATAAGATAACCTAATAATATGATAGGTAACCTATTACCTATCGTACTATATTATATTATTGTATATCATAGATAGATATCTATTATCTATCATACCGTGAGACACCTATAATGTCATTAACTTATTATATACCTACATGCCTTTTACTTCTTATAAATACTACTGTCTAATTTATATATTTACCTATATTATATAGGTTTACCTTACGCCCTATGTATTATCTCTACCTATTATATATATTATCTATTGTCTATACCGGGAATTGAACCCGGGACCTCCGCGTGGAAGTCGCGCACCTTAGCCACTACCCTATCGGGTACCCCCATTAATAATATAATATGGGACGCACTGTTGTTTCCGCGGGTCATTTTCTAATTTATTAGATAATTAATACTGAGGTGGCGCGACGACACGCGAAAAAAGACGGTTGATTGTAGCGTTACGGTGGTGTCGTGGTTAAGGTCGTCGCGTTCCACGCGGCGGACCCGGGTTCGATTCTCGGTAGGGTTAATGTAGCGTGTAAAAAAAATATAGGTAATAGGATATATAGTAGATATAGGTTAGGTGTACTCGGTATACAATGTAGGGATTTGAGAGTATGTGATGAAATATAGCGCATGGTATAGATGTAAGGCATGTAGTATAGAATGCAACGTATAGGCATACGTAAGGCTATAGAAATACACGAATAGGAACCTATGATGTAGGTGTTAGCGTATAAGAAATGCGTCTTTATATAAGATTATAAGATAAGATGAGATAAGAATTATAAGATAAGATATAAGATTTAATTTATAAATATTATTTTTTCTATAAGATATTTTATCTCAGTATTAAATATCTAAAATATCCGTTAAGGCGTCGATTACACCTTACTGCTGCCTTTGCCGTTATCACTTCATAAAAAATTAATTACTGCACTTTTAAACGAATGTGTGCACTATGCGACAATAGACATAGAACTATAAATGTTATTAAATGTTTGAGTAACTTTTTTGAGCTGAATTTTTTAAGCTGAATTTTTTAAGCTGAATTTTTTTCTACTGTAGAATTTTGAAAAAATCGAAAAAATTTTTTTTTTCATATTTTCTAAGTTTAGTTATTCAGAAATATGTCATTAAAAGGATTTTTCAAAATCACTATTATTTCCTGAGTTATATCCGTTTAAGTGACGTGGCCTCGGTTTGGGTCCGACCGAGTCTCAAAACTTTGAACGCGTTTTTCTCGGAACTACTTTTTTCGAGCTGGCGGTAAGGATATCTCGAGTTCTAATGAACCGATTTACTTCAAATTTGGAGAGGATCTTCTCTATACATCGCTTTATCGCATGGACCTTTTCCAAAACTATAACTTTTCATTTAGTATTTTAAAAAAATTCGGAATTGTTAAAAAAAACATGAAAAAAAATTTTTTTCTCAAACTGTCGCCATTCAAACAAATTTTTTTTTTTTAACTTATCCAAGGTTCATACGATAGCGGCATCTATAATAATTAAGAATCCATCTATTTTTTATGTTTTGGATCACCAGGAGGGTTGGAACCATGCACCCCAGGACGCCCTCTTTTCTGTTTGGCACTGGCCTCGGATGCAAGTGTATTACGTATAATATTTTATTTATTGATCACTTTTTATCTTTTATTCTTTTTATTAAAAAAAAGAAATTACTGACAGTTAGTGCTTGTCTATAATTATTAATTTTTACAAGTTATATTAATATGTGTTAGTGATAATATAAATAATTCAAAACCACTGAAGATGACGTAGAATTTTACGTCGAAACGTATGGAAAAATAAAGATGTTTTGAAAAAAATCTTTACTTCACTCTCTTTTTTTTACTTGATGTTACGCCCTCCAAGAAATCAATCATACATTTCAACATCAAATTTAAACATTTTCAACATATATATATATATATATATATATATATATATATATATATATATAGTTTTATTGTCAACGTTTCCAATTATATATATATATATATATATATATATATATATGTGATATGAATGGGTACATATTCTTTAATCCTTTATATTGTAAAATAGTGCGATATTACATCTACCTCTACGGTCAATATATATTTTATTATATGGAGGAGGGGTTCGTTTAAAATTTCCTAAGCTTGAAGGGGGTTGCTATATAAAAAAGTTTAAGAAGCCCTGGTCTAGAATACCATGAATATGCCATGAATACCCCTTTAAAACTATTTTATAATACACCTAGAAGATTATCAACCAAAGATACTTTTACGACTACCTATGACCTGATTATCAGGCGCCGTACAGGTATATTTACCTCCGAGCGTCTGCACGCTTCACCTGCGATTCGTGTTACGTTAAACGTCTTTGGCGAGCGCTTCGCGTCGTCTCGAGCGAGTTCTTAGGCGAACGCCAAAGGTGAAAGACGCCGTTTTCTTAAACAGTTTCTCTCCAACAAAATACTTGAAAAAAACTTTTTCAATTTATTTGTATTTCGACTGCGTGTCAATACAAAATTTTAATCTAATCCGAGTGTATTAATTGATTTCGTTCATTAGTTTTTAACGGTGATTCAGTGGTTTTGTGTGGCATATGGTTTTATAAACTGCAATAAGTGTTGTTGTATCTTGAGTTGATCCTAGGTTTTTATGAGAGGAGTTTAAAGATATGCAATATAGGTTTGTATTATTATTTCTTCATATTAGTTTAGTAATTTAATAATTTATAAAAATACGTTGAACAAGCATGTCATGGTTTGCTTAAGTGATTTGTTTATATTTGCATAACTACTATTTAAATCGACGTAATAAGTAAACGAAATCTTTATGTATAAAACATTCATACTACGCAGTTATTCATTTTTTATATATAAAATATTCTTATTTGATACCAATACATCTGATTTTTACGTTAATGTTCGTTGTAGATTCAAAAATTTGATAATTTTATACAAATATCGACTTCTCATTTAGCTATTTTAGTGACTGCTTTTAAGAATTACGAGTACTTAAGTAAGGTATTTATAAACACTAATATATTTTAAGTGTTGAACTATAATTATTTTTAAAAATGTGAAGGTGACAATGACGCCCAACATCTGACTGGATTCTGATTGTGTTTTTTTTTTGAAAATGTAAATAAAATTAGATTTTTGACTGACAAAGAATATTCATTTTCTGCAAATAATTATGGTCAAATTGAATCCAATAATATCTATTTATTATATTAATAATTCATGTAATAATTAAATTAATTAACTTGAAAACAGTAATTACTGTTTTTTACTATTCGGTATAGTAATTACTTATATACTGATATATTTTAGCTACCTAGTTTTAGAAAATTTAATATTTATACTAAAGCTAAACATATTAAATTAAAAAAAGCATTTTTTTATCAATATAA